TATATATATATATATATACATACAGCTGATTCACTTTGCTGTACAGCAGAAACTAACACAACATTGTAAAGCAACTATACTCCAATAAAAAAATATAATAAATGGCTTCTTTTGTAATGGTTGTGTGATTAACCTTTGGCCCTGAAGTGTAGATACCATTTTTTTACAGGACTGATCTGGTACAGATGCAAAAGCCTCAGCCAGTGAACCCAGAGCTCACTTCCTGGCCTGTCACTGGAATCCTAGACATGCTGAACAACTTCAGAGGTAAGAGTCAACCTTCAGTGAACAGGACTACATTTCATTAGAACTTCTTGGGAAGGAGCCTTCTTTTAGTTATTTTATTTTTTCTGACATGAAGGTAGTACATGACTTTCCAAAGTTGTTGTATCTTTTCTGCCAATACAGTCATGCTACAAAGAACAAGGCTGAACTTTGCAACCTATATTTTACTGCAAATGCAAAGCAAGATACATATTTTTAGTTACATCTGAAATAGGCAGAGCTAGAAGAGAGCAACTGGATTGATCAGCTAGTTATAAAGAAATAGAATATTTAGTTCTCAGAGTAGTAGTTAATGTATGTTTATTCAGTTTATTTCACTCTTGAAAGGTTATATATGGCATTGCTGGTTTTAATTTGTTCTATATTACAATTGTTTACCATGCATTATACAAAGAATATTTCTTATTTCTATAATTACTAACTTTTGACAAAATACACTACAATTGGCTTAGGCAGAATCATTGTAATGCTGTTAGATCAATCTCAAAATAATTGAAAGGTGAGGGATATGTGAACATGGTTAGTCATAACATGCTTTTAGAAGCTTCCAAACTATTCATTGATGGATTTCTATCAACATTTTTGCTTTGAAAACTTGCTAGGTAGAGACTCTAGCCCAACAAATACCCACATAATATCAAAGTGCTCTCTCTATATTAAAGTGTTAAAGACAAAAGACACAAGAAAAGTTTTCTAAAGTAAAGAAAAAAATAAAATTTTATGTGTCCTGAAATAAACTATCAAGAATTTGACATAAAATCAGACTTCACAGAGTTCATATGTCTGTATGCTTTTTCTTTTTCTGTATGATTTGAGGTGTTTCTACGTGCTGTAGAGATAGTTATAACTCTTGTTCTTCATAGAAGAGCCAGTCTGAACTCCCTTTTGTCTTCGCTTTGTATTTCCTTGGAGGAGGGAAAATGAAAAGACTCATTGGGTAGAGAGCCTCTGCCTCTCAGGCCATGGAAATCCCACTTGTTGACCACATTTTTGCTCTTTCTGCAGTGGATAACGTTCTGAGTCAGAAAACGACCATTCACAATGTGAGCCTTTCTGAGGATGATACAACTATGATATATGGAGATGACCATCATGGCGTGTCCACAGAGCTCCAGGGTGCAGAGAGTTTTGTGGCCTGGGGAGCTGTGGCCTTCACCTCTGGAAGGCATTACTGGGAGGTGGATGTGACACACTCCTCGAACTGGATTCTGGGAGTCTGTAAAGATATCTTGACAAGCAATACTCTTATCAGTATTGATTCTGAAGAAGCATTTTTGCTATCTTCTGTGAAAGTGAACAATCATTATATTCTGTCCACGACCTCCCCACCCTTAATTCAGTATGTGCAAAGGCCTCTGGGTGGGATTGGAGTGTTTCTGGATTATGACAATGGAACTGTGAGCTTCTGTGATGTTTGCAGAGGTTCCCTCATATATACTTTCTTTCCTTCTTTCTTTTCCTCCCCTCTGAAGCCTTTCCTTTGCCTTAGGTCTTCATGAATAGTCAAGTTCCGTGACCATTTATTAGATGAACTTCTCGTAGGAGGAAGTTACTGTTCTGAAACCTCATGTGAGGCTACAGGATGATACTTGACTGTCTCTGAGCCTATGGTAATTTAATGGAACATAATGATGGTATGTTAATAAAATGGCATAACCATGTTGAATGTATAAATTTGTTAATTAAATGATCTATTAATAAAAACTATTATGGAGCATTTCTAGAATATAATCAATAGATATTCTTTTTTTAAAATAATATTTGTATTAAAATAAAAATTACATATCATAAGGTTCATTTACATTTTAAGCAATGTGTCTTTCTTCCATAGTTGAACCATACTGGGGTAGAAGAATGAAGTGGTATATATCTCAGCCTAGTAAACAAAAGGAATAGCTCAGTTTTTTTCTTCAAGTGTGACCTAGTTGGTTGGATAAATGTATTTGACAGATTTGGTCAAACCCTTTCTCTTTGTCAAACATTTAGACTTTCTCTAAACCCTAGTCATTCAGCACATCACAGCTCATCAACAGCTTTTCCAGAAAGATTTTCCTGACTCCACAGACCAGTATAGTTCCTCTTATAACACACTCTCTGAGCATATGTCATCTCAACATAATATTCAACAAACTTTCACCAAATTACTAGATACTTTTTACTACAGACTGAAAATTCTGAGAGAGTAAGGATGGCCTTTGACTTATTTACTACTATATTCCCACTATCCAATGAAGTACTTAGAACATAACAAAAATAAATATAAGGCAAATGAATGAACAAATACATAAGTGAAATAGCTAGTACACAGAAAACGTATTTTATCATCATTAAAATTTTCTTTACAGACTAGCAAAAGTTAAGAGAATTCAGCAGCACCAAACCAGCTTTACAGCAAATGCTAAAGGAACTTCTCCAGGCAGGAAACACAAGAGAAGGAAAAGACCTACAATAGCAAACCCAAAACAATTACAAAAATGATAATAGAAACATACATATCGATAATTACCTTAAATGTAAATGGATAAAATGTTCCAACCAAAAGACATAGAGTGGGTGAATGGATACAAAAACAAGACCCATATATATGCTGTCTACAAGAGACACACTTCAGACCTAGGGACACATACAGACTGAAAGTGAGGGGATGGAAAAAGATATTCCATGCAAACGGAAATCAAAAGAAAGCTGGGGTAGCAATTCTCATGTAACACAAAATAGACTTTAAAGTAAAGACTATTACAGGAGACAAAGAAGGACACTACATAATGATCAATCCAAGAAGAAGATATAACAATTGTATATATTTATGTACCCAACATGGGAGCACCTCAATACATAAGGCAAATGCTAACAGCCATAAAAGGGGAAATAGACAGTAACACAGTCATAGTACGGAACTTTAACACACCACTTTCACCAATGGAGTGATCAACCAAAATGAAAATAAATAACGAAACACAAGCTTTAAATGATACATAAAACAAGATGGACTTAATTGATATTTATAGGACATTCCATCCAAAAACAACAGAATACACTTTTTTCTCAAGTGCTCATGGAACATTCTCCATGACTGATCATATCTTGGGTCACAAATGAACCCTTGGTGGATTTAAGAAAATTGAAATTTTATCAAGTATCTTTTCCAACCACAACACTATGAGAGTAGATACCAATTACAGGAAAAAATCTGTAAAAAGTATGAACACATGGAGGTTAGACAATGCCCTACTTAATAACCAAGAGATCACTGAAGAAATCAAAGAGGAAATCAAAAAATACCTAGAAACAAATGACCATGAAAACATGACAACCCAAAACCTATGGGATGCAGCAAAAGCAGTTTTAAGAGGGAAGTTTATAGTAATACAATCCTACATCAAGAAGGAAGAAACACCTCAAATAAACAACCTAACGTTAAACCAAAATCAATTAGAGAAAGAAGAACAAAAAACCCCCCAAAGTTAGCAGAAGGAAAGAAATCATAAAGATCAGGTCAGATATAAAAGGGAAAAAAATGAAGGAAACGATAGCAAAGATCAATAAAACTAAAAGCTGGTTCCTTGAGAAGATAAACAAAATTGATAAACCACTAGCCAGACTCATCAAGAAAAAAGGGAGAAGACTCAGATCAGTAGAATCAGAAATGAAAAAGGACAAGTAACAGCTGACACTGCAGAAACACAAAGGATCATGAGAGATTACTACAGGCAACTCTATGGCAATAACATGGACAACCTGGAAGAAATGGACAAATTATTAGAAAAGCACAACCTTCCAAGACTGAATCAAAAAGAAATAGAAAATATAAACAAACTGATCACAAGCATTGGAATTGAAACTGATTAAAAATCTTCCAACAAACAAAAGCCCAGGACCAGATGGCTTCACAGGTGAATTCTATCAAACATTTAGAGAAGAGGTAACCCCTATCTTTCTCAAACTCTGCCAAAATATAACAGAGGGAGGAACACTCCCAAACTCATTCTGCAAGGCCACCAACACCCTGATAACAAAACCAGACAAAGATGTCACAAAAAAAGAAAACTACAGGCCAATATCACTGGTGAACATAGATGCAAAAATCCTCAACAAAATACTAGCAAACAGAATCCAACAGCACATTAAAGGGAACATACACCATCATCAAGTGCGGTTTATCCCAGGAATGCAAGGATTCTTCAATAGACGCAAATCAATGTGACACACCATATTAACAAACTGAAGGATAAAAACAATATGATCATCTCAGTAGATGCAGAAAAAGCTTTCAACAAAATTCAATACCCATTTATGATAAAAACACTCCAGAAAGTACGCATAGAGGGAACTTACCTCAACATAATAAAGGCCGTATATGACAAACCCACATTCAGCATCATTCTCAATGGTGAAAAACTGAAACCATTTCCACTAAGATCAGGAACAAGACTAGGTTCCCCACTCTCACCCCTCTTATTCAACATAGTTTTGGAAGTTTTAACCACAGCAATCAGAGAAAAAGAGAAATAAAAGGAATCCAAATCGGAAAAGAAGTAAAACTGTCACTGTTTGCAGATGACATGATACTCTACCTAGAGAATCCTAAAGCTGCTACCAGAAAACTACTAGAGCTAATCCATGAATTTGGTAAAGTAGCAGGATACAAAATTAATGCATAGAAATCTCTTGCATTCCTATACACTAATGATGTAATATCTGAAAGAGAAATCAAGGAAACACTCCCATTTACCATTGCAACAAAAAGAATAAAATACCTAGGAATAAACCTACCTCAGAAGGCAAAAGACCTGTATGCAGAAAACTATAAGACACTGATGAAAGAAATAAAAAATGACACAAACAGATGGAGAGATATACCATGTTCTTGGATTGGAAGAATCAACATTGTGAAAATGACTATACTACCCAAAGCAATCTACAAATTCAGTGCAATGCCTATCAAACTACCACTGGCATTTTTCACAGAACTAGAACAAAAAACTTCGCAATTTTTATGGAAACAAAAAGACCCCAAATAGCCAAAACAATCTTGAGAAAGAAAAACGGAGATGGAGGAATCAGGCTCCCTGACTTCAGACCATACTACAAAGCTAAAGGAATCAAGACAGTATGGTACTGGCACAAAAACAGAAAGATAGATCAGTGGAACAGGATAGAAAGCCCAGAGATAAACCCACGCACATATGGTCACCTTATCTTTGATAAAGGAGGCAAGAATATACAATGGAGAAAAGACAACCTCTTCAATAAGTGGTGCTGTGAAAACTGGACAGCTACATGTAAATGAATGAAATTCGAACACTCCCTAATACCATACACAAAAATAAAATTAAAATGGATTAAAGACCTAAATATATGTCCAGACACTATAAACTCTTAGAGGAAAACATAGGCAGAACACTCTCTGACATAAATCACAGCAAGATCCTTTTTGACCCACCTCCTAGAGAAAGAGAAATAAAAACAAAAATAAACAAAGGGGACCTAATGAAACTTAAAAGCCTTTGCACAGCAAAGGAAACCATAAACAAGAGGAAAAGAGACCTCAGAATGGGAGAAAATATTTGCAAATGAAGCAACTGACAAAGGATTAATCTCCAAAATATACAAGCAGCTCATGCAGCTCAATATCAATAAACAAAAACCCAATCCAAAAATGGGCAGAAGACCTAAATAGACATTTCTCCAAAGAAGATATACAGATTGCCAAAAGACGCATGAAAGGATGCTCCACATCACTAATCATTAGAGAAATGGAAATCAAAACTACAATGAGGTATCACCTCACACCAGTCAGAGTGGCCATCATCAAAAAATCTAGAAACAATAAATGCTGGAGAGGGTGTGGAGAAAAGGGAATCCTCTTGCACTGTTGGTGGGAATGCAAATTGATACAGCCACTATGGAGAACAGTATGGAGGCTCCTCAAAAAGCTAAAAATAGAGCTACCATATGACCCAGCGATTCCACTACTGGGCAGGTACCCTGAGAAAGCCATAGTGCACAAAGAGACATGTACCACAATGTTCATTGCAGCTCTATTTACAATAGCCAGGACATGGAAGCAAACTAAATGTCCATCAACCAAGGAATAGCACATATATACAACAGAATATTACTCAGCCATAAAAAGAAATGGAATTGAGTTATCTGTAGTGAGGTGGATGGACCTAGAGACTGTCATACAGAGTGAAGTAAGTCGGAAAGAGAAAAAGAAATACCATATGCTAACACAGATATATAGAATCTAAGAAAAAAAAAAAAAGGTTCTGAAGAACACAGGGGCAGGACAGGAATAAAGATGCAGATGTAGAGAATGGACTTGAGGACACAGGGAGGGGGAAGGGTCAGCTGGGATGAAGTGAGAGCGTGGCATGGACATATACACACTACCAAATGTAAGATAGATAGCTAGTGGGAAGCAGCTGCATGGCACAGGGAGATCAGCTCCGTGCTTTGTGACTGCCTGGAGGGGTGGGATAGGATGGGTGGGAGG